ACTCATACAAAGCAACATGAAAAATTATAGTTTATTTATTTACTTTCATCTTTAAATGATTTGACAGGAGAGGGAAGGAAACAGAATATTACAAACTGAATGGTAATAAGCATTAACAGAATTGAATCCACTCTAAATTTCTTCATAAATGTTAATATGATTTGTTACCGTTGTTCCAAATACTTGAACTTGACACATTCTCAAAGGATTTCTCAGCTACCATCCATCATATTATGATCTTCTCCTGTGGTCTGGTGATAAGATATTAAGAAAAACTTGTTTTTTTGCATTTACTTCTAGACAAATGTCCTTTTGAGCATCTACTGGAGCTTCTTGATTTTTAATTATAATACTTATATTCTTGCCTAATAAATTAACATCCTCAGCTTCGACGAAAAGCTCATCTGTCCACTCAATTCCAATACCCCATGATTTTCTTGAACCTTACTAATGGCATATTCTAAAGCAACACAAAAGTAGAGCACTTCAATATCCTCCATGCATGAAAAAGTTTGGCTGTAGGATTTGAGGTTTTCATGGCAATGTCAATGAATATTGAAGGTGGTCTTTTGGGTTGTCGCACCACGCAGTATTTTCGCGGTATGGCAACGTTCTGGAGGAACGAAGCATCTCCATCTCAGGGCTTCAGTTTCAGCAAATAACAAAAATATCGCACAGTACAAAAGGCCATACCACCATCACGCAAGTAAGTTTATCTATTTTTACAAAATACAAATATGCAGTTCCCTCTACACCATATTTGTCGTGCAAAACACTTAAATTGTCACCTTCTCCACGGACTTCAGCAAGACAATGATTAATACTTGGGTTGGTTTACAACACTTCACCATATTCACAGGTTATGTAGTAACAAGTGGTATAATGGCTGAATAATCAATAAGAAAGGATTTAGAAGCAATCGGGGCCATTTTAAGGAAATACCCCATCAAGTCTGAAAGAAATTAAGAAAACAACAAAGTAACTTCAGTCTGGATAGAAAATCTCAGCTGTGATTCAAACTCAGGCTGTCGTGAATACAAAGCAGAAACGCTAATCTCTCGACATAAATGGTATACGAATAAATTTTTTTTATATAAAATAAAAACATGTGCATAACATGAAGCTGTGTAGACTGCAATCTGGATGCAATTGTTAATGATTATTAGGATATCAGCACTCCAAGTCTTCCAAACTAATTACAATATTATATTACAATATCTTACAATAAGTTTATATTTCAGTTTAATTATATACATCTAAAAATTATGAAAATGTTAACTTCAGTATTTCCAGTACCACCAAAAACATCTTGTTCACATTTTAAAATTAACACAATCTAAGCTTCTTCATGGATGCTGGCGGTAGTATAGCTACTGGTAGGGCCTCCCTAGCCAGATTGGTCGAGGGGGAGAGGTCAGACTAAGATAAGGTACCCTGGTCCTCCAGGTTGGGGGTTGGTCGCAAGGCTAACAACCTTGCACCGTAAAAAGGAAGATATTTCGAAACCTCAACCTCAGACAGACGGACCTAACAGAAAAGGACCGAATGGAAGAGGAGATTTGAGGAGGCCATGGACCGAATATGGACCGGAGAGCCATAGAAGAAGAAGAAGCTTCTTCATGGAAAATCTGTGCAAAACAGCTTAATTAAAACATCAAAAGACCGAGTTACTTTATATGAACACTGAAGATACAATAAAATATCTTGTAAGAATTCTCACCAATAATTCCTTTTTCATTCCCTCATTGCGTTATGCTGTATTGTATTATACAGTAATATAAATTATAAGAAAGTTCTTGTTATAAAGACTTTACTCCAAGTTCTCACCCATTTTTCATCTGTACTTGCGTACAAAGCAGCAGAAAGCAGACTTTGGTACTCTACGTGGACCTGCGATACTTAGCTCAGTTCGAAACCAGCACCGGCCTGAATAGCATACAGCAGTTTGTCTTTGAGAATGACTTCCTCCGCAAACTCTGGCAGTTTGAGCAGGTTCATGCAAGTACTGGCTGTTGGCAAGCGATCTATTGATCCTGCATGCTGAATACAGAAAGGAGGATCCAGTTCCTAAAGCAAACACAATCATCAACAAAAGCAACAGTGTATCATGTAAGACAGTGGTCCCCAACATTTTTGTGCCTACAGACAGATTTGAGAGTTTATGAGATCGTGGCGGGCACCGACCAATTAACGAAGCCAAATTTTCTTTTCTCTGGACAAATAAGATATGGAGACCAAATAATACGCAAAACAACACGACGTTTAATGATACAAGAAACCACGCAATCAAAAATACGTAGTTTTATAAGTACAATTATTATTACTCAAGTGGGAAGTTAGTGTGATGTTTGGCACTGCATTTCATCGGCCAGTTTTTCATATTTGGGAGTGTAGGATGATACTGCTGCTCGCAAACAATCGTCAAGATGGGCGTCAGTAAGTCGAGAACTACACTTTGATTTTATAATGTTCGTGGTTGAATGGCCTTCATTATTCAGTATAACCTCTTTCTGTAACCCAAAAACAGCCATGGTTGGGGACCACTGATGTAAGATTTGAGGTTTTCACAGCAGTGAGTATGAAGATTTCTGTCTTCTGGGTTGTTGCGCCGTGTAATCTGGTCGATGTTAACCAATGTTTCAGAGGTCATACTGCCTCCGTCATCAGGGCGATGAATATCCCTGATGACGGAGGCAGTATGACCTCTGAAACATTGGTTAACATCGACCAGATTACACGGCGCAACAACCCAGAAGACAGAAATCTTCAACAGTGTATCATTTCTTGCTAAACATATTTTTACTACGAGACCTAGCAGGAACCACATAGTAAGTATTAAAAATTTAAAAAACGTAAAAATCTGTAAGACTATAAAGATACACCATAATGTTACGTACACAAATGTAGGTTCCGAGTGTTTCTTGTGATTATACATATTTCACTAGCTTAGCAGTTAATCTCTGCTGAAGCAAAATTTGCAGCAGGACAATTAAAAATGTATTTCTTCTTCATATAATTAAATGTGTGAACTCACTGATATCATAAATATTGCATTGGATATCTCTTTGAAATTGGTGTAACTTCACAATTTCTTATTTAAATTTCTGTACATTACAACTGACCTTAAATCCAAGCAGTGGTGGTCTAGAGCAACTAGTGACAAACTTAAGGAGCTGCCGTCGCTGGAGGTCTGTAAAATTCTCCACAACCTATAAAAATTTAGGAAAATATAATTGAAAAGATATTTTCTGAAGGTTATTTACAGGCGTGAAACTTGGTCTCTCATGTTAAGGAGGGAACAAATATTGTACAGTCTGAAGGGAACAAACTTCTTGAAACACCTAGGCACAAACAAGATAATATTAAAAAAAATATATGGAAAATCCTTCTGGCCAAACTAGAAATTCATTCACCATCCAGGAAACCTCTAGGCAGGGGCATCTTTATTAGCGACTGTAATCAGACAGACATATAACCTACCACACGTTCATTTTATGCACTAATGAAACATAATTTGGACAACTAACATTGCGAAGAATCAAGTGCAAGGCAGATTAAAAGGGTATTAGTTCACATAACATACTTTCCAGAACAGACGGATAGTGGGATGGTCTGATGCATAGCCCCCTGTATAGTTTGTGTGCTGTTTTAAGTCCTCTACATCCACTGGAATCTGGGCCCCTGATATTAGAACCTGTAGTTCCTTGTTGTTGAACATCTGCAGCCAGTCCAGAGGAATGACATTTGCCAAACCCTAGAAACAAATTTCCCAACTGCATAAAGATTCAGATTGCACAATTAATCTTACACTGCATGTGACACAGTAGACATACGAGCCCCATTTATGGGTTAGAAACCTGGTTGCTAAAAGTAAACTTGTAAGATTTGAGGTTTTCACAGCGGTGAGTATGAAGATTTCTGTCTTCTGGGTTGTTGCTCTGTGTAGTCTGGTCGATGTTTACCAACGTTTCAGAGGTCATACTGCCTCCATCATCAGGGCGACAGCGCAACAACCCAGAAGACAGAAATCTTCAAAAGTAAACTTGAAAGAAATGTAGACATTGACACAGCCATCAAACAATCAACAGCTTTTCAGAAGGGCAGAATATGTCTAAAGTAATGATGATTCTATCCCGCGCCGTAGCCGCGAGGTCTGAGGCATCATGCTTTGGACCGGCGATACGGAATGTGCGCTGGTTCGAGTCTCGGGGGAAAAGAAATTTTCTCATGAACTTTCGACCAGTGTATGGGACTGGTGCCAACCCAGCATCGTGAGGAAATTGGGGAGCTATAATGAGTAGCGTAATCCGGTCACTAAAGCTAGCAATGGCTGGGGGTTCGTCGTGCCGACCACACGTCACCCTATATCTGGTTGGATGATTGTTCACCTCTGCTTAGGCATGTGAATGTGAGGCCAGCAGTCAAGCTAGTCGGCTTTGGCTCTCTGGAGCTGTTACGCCATGGATTTAATTTTTTAATGATAATTCTATACTAAATAATAACACAAATTAAATTGTTGAAACTATAAGATATTTAAACAGCTTTTTCCACGTTCGCATGGAAGATGAAAATCATTAAAAAAATCCTGTGAATAAATTGGTCTATAGCACTGAACGCAACCAACAGAATATGATGATGTGAGGACCGCCAACCTGAGCGTGGTTATCTCACCTGTTTGAATGCAGAGCACTGCGCTCGGATTTGTTTATTAAGTTTATAATCAGCCATAAGGTGGATGTACTCAATGCGATTGGAAGTCGTGACGGGAATATTGGATCCCCCCGGTTTCAGCTCATCAGTCTAAAATAAACATGAAACACAACACAATTTGATATTTACAGACAACTCTCCAGTTAACTGCAATAACGAGTCAGCAAATGTGAAGAAAATATTCTTACCCTTGTTTCACCAAGTTCATCATTGAGTACAGTGAAATCTAGGCCAAGGTCAGTGACATCCCCTTCGTAACTCTTGAGAAACAGGAGATTGCGATACATTATGGGGTCGAGCGAAGCCAAGTGGTGAACGTCGACATCTGAGTGTCGGCCAACCAACTTGGAGAGGAAAAACTCTGCCAACGGAAGCTCAACAAGGAGGTTTTCATATAATGCCTGGAAACAAGATTTTGAAAAGCAATGACAAAGGCTATGGTCCTATAAACTTTTACGACAAACGGACTGATCATGCAAAGACAACAGCACATTTTATGCAACATTATTACTACTATGTATGTCTTCACATACACACTTACATGATTACAAACAAAGAAACCTGAAGTAGGATTTGAGGTTTTCACAGTGGTGGTTACAAAGATGTAGTGTGGTAGAAGGCAACAAGAACCTCTGAAATGTTGGTTAACATCGACCAGACTACACAGCGCAACAACCCAGAAGGCAGAAATCTTCATACTCACCGCTGTGAAAACCTTAAATCTTACACAGTTCATCTGATTGGTGCAAGCTTCGACTGCCGATTCTACTGAAAAACACTATATTATTCAAAGCATTCACATGCTATCTCTAAATTCTCTCATGAACTATGCATTAATGGTCATCTCAAGAGGAATTAATTAAAGAAAGTTATTGTTAACAGACATTCGGTTGCAGAGATGTTAAGCGAAGATTAATGATAAAGTCTAGCTTACCTTTCCCAGAATTCTTCCTATGAAAAAATAATGTCTTGGAAAGTCTTCTACAAGCAGGTGAACATTAGGATTTGGATAAAGTTGATTGTCTTTTGTCAAACGGAAGAAACCCCTATTGGGGTCAAAAGCTGTTTTCAGCAGCTCGGACAGAAACTCCCGAAAAACTCCCCCTCCATCGACACCGGCTTCATCCATCCCAACTACGTTCACCAGTTGGACTCTCATCTTCAGTCTCAGCTCAGGTTCTAGCAATATCAACATTTAAGACCACTCAATCAATACTTATACTGTTCTGCTAATATTTAAGCAGATACCAAGTTATCGCCGACGTATTACATAACGAACATTTCTTTAAAACAGTCTAAGCGAGGTACATAAATTCTGTAGCGGAAAGCTGTACACTAATATGAGCACTTTTGCCAGGATTTGAATAAGAGTTGAAATAAACTTCAGTTGTGTGTCCTCTGCCAGACAAAAAGCCATATTATTGGTGTATAATTTAACTTGACGGAGGAAGAAGACCAGTTGGAAGACCCAGGAACAGATGGGAGGATGCAGTTCAAACGAATGCCACACTGCTCCTAAGGATTAGAAATTGGAAGAAGGCAGCGGAGGAAAGGACTGAATGGAAGAGGAGAGTTGAGGAGGCCATGGACAGAATACGGACCGGAGAGCCATAGAAGAATAATAATTTAACTTGACAGCTGGAAAGTATGATTTTATATTGCCTGCATGACTTTTAAAAAAGTTTCCGGTATAATTATATTTTTGCACAGAGGGGTGCTGGAGAGACTTCAACATGGGGTGAAAAGTTTATCAGTAAGCTACTGCAATGAACAACCAGCTGGACAATACATAATTCTGAGATACGTATAAATTTGAATAAATGACGCAAGGTAATACGGCAGAAACCAAAACTGTATAACTTTAGGTTTACCATTCTCTGGAGAAAGCCTGTCAAAGGCATCCTCATACAGGTAGTTCCGTCTCACAGCCACCTGTATATTTGGCCCTTGCAAGAAATGACTGTGCTCTCCCTGGTGTTCCACTTTGTCTTTTAGTACCAGACTCTGGAAGACAAGTACACGTTCCTGGAACGCAACCAGGAAAGGAAGTTCCCGCAAAATCGTCATGGTCCGCACTTCCTTTGTTGACAATGGAGGCCCTTCCTCTATAGAGAAACATCACATGCAGATAAATTGTATTTCTTCTGTATATTTAATATATGATGAATCTGCTATTATTTTTATCGACTAAATAGATCTGTGTAAGCTTTATAACGCCATACATTAATGAAACATTCAAAGTCACAACTTCCCAAATCACGTTTATTGGTGAAAAAATTAAAGAACAGCTTTTTCACGATTACTCAGTCTCTTACAACTATCAACAGCAGCTTAAACCTCAAGATGCTTTTCCATCTTAAAACTAAGTAACAAAACTAAGAATAAAACTCAAAAAAAAACACAGACACATATTTAAATATTTATTTACTTACCCAATTCTTCTCTAGTGAATGCTCTTAACCCTTGGAAGGGGCGATAATTCCTAAGCCTATGCCTGCGTAGTGTAAAATCTGATGGCTTATCTAATGGGAACATCACTTGCTTAGAAATCCAGTGACCCTCGGGGCAGAATGGACGCCGAATGTCTCGAGCATGTAACTGTCGTACCAAGCCAACAGTCACCTGCACTAAGAAAGTGAAATTAAGAAAAGCACAGGGACATACAGAAACATTTATTTTTTATGGCTGTATCTCTCACGAAACATAATTTTACACAATATTCTCTTTAAAAGGAATAAAATGGATCCATAAATGGACGTAACGACGGTCCACCTACATGTTTCATCTCTGAAGAACCTCAGCAATTTTAATAAACTTTGGTACTTGAAGTCTACAACTATTGTTCTTAACAGTTTAATATAATTCCTATCTTACACAAGTTTCTAATAAAACTTAGTTAATTTCCCCAAAAATGGATCAATGAGTACAATTAAATATGTCATATAAAATATAGCTCCCATGAAGACCAATTTTTATTCAAAATATTTTTCAACATGGTGTACATAACATAAACAATAATCTAGGTCTTACTGCAATATTTGTAGAGTTCATAATCAATAAATTAACATCAAGACCAACTGAAATTATAAAATCAACAAGAACATATTTGGATAATGTGTGTACTTAAAACAGAAGTTCATATTCCCAATCTACCTATTACATATAAATGGATAGGCCAGACATTTAAGAAGAATGAGATAAACAAGAAATTCACGCAAAATTTTGATTGGAAAAGCTTGTATAAACAGACTAGTCAGGAGCCACTGTTGCAGATAAGAATGTAAATAACTGTGAGGGCATGAAACAGATCATGGCCCGCCTTACGACAAGATCCAACATAATGACCCATATCGAACGACCGAGGGAATGATTCAGCGATCGCCATTAACGGGAATATTATACCTTGAAGAGGTGTGACCACATCTGTGTCTCCTGGCTACTGACAGTAGACGGTTGATCTCGCCCATGCACTGCTGTACGATAGTCATCCCGTACACTTGGACGAGAGTCCGGAAAAGCCAATTCCACTAACCCAAGGCAAACTTCTTTTAATGTCAGTGTCAGTGGAACTAATGACAATAAGGAAAATGGCATCGTTGTTAAAAGTGCACCTGCAACAGTGAAAGCAAAATCTTATTAGATCTGAGGTTTTCACGGAGTAAAGATGTCAATGTTAGTCTTCTTGGTGTTGCTACCCAGAAGACCAGCACTGACAAAACAACATCGCTTCTGACATAACATAAAATTCACAGCCAGGATACAACAATTTGTTATTGGAACTGTATTTTATGTTGCGTACAGATGATTACTAATAATAATAATAATCCGTGGCATAACAGCCCCCTGAGACCCAAAGCTGACTAGCCGGCTGCTGGCCTCACGTTCACACGCCTAAGCAGAGGTGAATGATCTTCCAACCAGATATAGGGTGGCGTGTGGTCAGCACGACAAACCCCCAGCCATTGCTAGTTTTCATGACCGGATTACGCTACCCATTGTAGTTCCCCAATTTCCTCACGATGGTGCACAGCTAGACGTCAGAATTCAAACCAGGCTCCTCGAGACTCGAACAGGCGTGCATTGCGTATCATCGGTCTGAAGCATGATGCCTCAGACCACACAGCTTTGGCGCAGGACTACAAATGATCACTACACTCAGTAATTCTCTTAAATCATGATATTTCTGACACCGAGGACGACAGGAAGCTATTAGCATAGCTTACATAAATACCTGCCAATAATTAATGTCTCTCTTGCAAAGGTACAGCTGAAGCATTAAACTGAACCAACCCTCCTAAAAACATAAAGAGTGCACATACCTGCATGATTATCATCAGCATAAAACTCTGAATCATGAAGTGTAGCTATAAGAAGACTAAAAAGTGAGCAGAAGACAGCGAGCAGCGGAACGATACGATCGCTATCTTCAGGAGACATTGGAATTCCTCTTGAAATAACTTGAAGCAATGGTGTGGCACTTCCAAATAATGATGTCTGACATACAGACAATATGGCCGTCCACAGGTGTCGTAAGAATGACGGTTTAAACGCCAGCATATAAAGTAACCTGTGTTAAACAAAAATATTTAACTTAAAACAAGAAATCCTGTCAAGTTCACTAAGAACGCACAATTCGAAGAAAATACTGTAATGCTTTTTACACTGCAAGGACACAAGACACAAAGTTGGTAATTTTTATTACTGGGCGTTATGCGAGATATGGTTCCAGCATGAAGTCGTGAAAGTAGTGTTTCCTCTCCTAATTACTTTAATATGTTAATGGCTTTGAATCTGTAATCTTCCTTCACATTCATAATAAGGAGTTACACATATCTAAAAACAAAGTGGTTACAAAATAGTTGGACCTAAGAAAGATATTATAGAATATATAATATCACATAAAAAAGAACTTTGTTATGTATGCAGATGTTAATTTTGTGTAATGTTATACCACTCCCATTAAGGTTACAATGAACTACATACTCAACTCAGATCAGAGACACAAAAATGCATAAAGAATTTTGGTAGAAAACAATTGGAAACCAGCCAATTCTAATAAAAGATACGTGAAGACAACAAAGCAACCGTTATTTTGCCTATCATTCAACCTTTCATTACTGCCAGTCCTTAGTACTTCAGTTAAAGAGTTCATAGTTCCTTCTTCATGGCAAGAAAAACTTGTGAACGATAAGAGAACTTACTTATATTTGTGGATGGCAAACTTGTGTGCCACAAGGAGATTATGGCATACTTGGCATAAAGCCTGGAGAACGTGTGGGTCTTCTGACTGATCAACCGCCAGCAACAAGGTTTGAACCCGTGATGACTCATTCAGCATCTCCATGCATTGTTCCAGTATCTGAAATTACATAAATATATTCAGTTTGATATTCTCTAGATTAGAACTTGAATAAATGACAGGAAGTTGTTGGTAAGAAGATCGAGAGTTTTGAGATGTGGGTGTACAGAAGGATCCTCCGAATCTCGTGGACCGAACACTGCACAAACCAATCTGTGCTAGAGGAGCTCAGAATTCAAACCAGGCTCCTTAAGAGGATAACTCAGGCGTACCTGAGTTTCTTTTGGCCACATCGCCAGGAGAAACGGCTCTATGGAGAAGCTGGTGGTGGAAGGAAAAGTGAGCGGACGGAGATCACGAGGAAGATCACCAAACAGGTGGGTCGACCAACTGCAGTCATTAGTGGGGGTAAACTCTCACGAGGCCTCACAACTTGCCTTGGTCCAGAGCCCTTGGCAGGAAGAAGCCAGGCGAGCCAACCCATGAAGCGCCACCACGCCCTGTTAAGGGTCAAAGACAGAGGAGGAGGAGGAGGTTGTTGGTATGATCCTCAGCAGCACGTATTCATATATTATATATCTAATATTTGTCATTTAATATTCAGCCACCTTAAATCATCATTTCTGATCTGTCCCATTTCTTTTCTACTTTTTTATTTATTTTTTCTATTGATGGTCAGTGAATTCTTACTTTCTCCTAACTGGGTTATGTTTTAGGCATGAGAGTTTCTCCCTGAGCAGGTCATGCAAACCTCTCATCACATCCTGAAGGAACACAGCCTCTTGCCAAGAATATGGGATGCATTTCCTTTAATCCCCTCACTCCCTGTGGTCCTTGCAAGTACCTTCCTTGATACCCCTTTAGGACAGCTCTAAAATCTACCATTTTGAATGAATGAGCCAACAGTGGCTTAACTCCTTTTCTGTTTGATGACGATGAATAGTAAACTTGAATCTGCTATGTCCAATGTGGTCTTCAGAAGTGTGATGTCATGCATTCTTGTTGGCGATTACCATCTTGGAGGTATATATAAATTTTGATATGGAGGTGCTCCACTACACTGAAATGTTGGAAACCACCTACAAAACTGCTTGGCCAGCATCTTCAGTGCCATGAATACCACAAATCTCAGACTGTTCTATAGGCACACGTATCAAATGACCACGCAGTAAGAAAAAATAAAACTGGTATACAGTAATTCTGAAGCACTAGTACTCACTTGAAGCTCTTCAATATTGCTTCCTTCATGGTCCATTTCATTGCCTGAGTCATCATCCGAGTCACCAGAAGTGTCATGACCACTGCGTTTTGTGCCAGTATTTGATCCATTATATACCTTACTGATATTTACAGTTAGGTTTGCTAATATCTGCAGGTAAATTAAAAGAAGGCCATCTCCGACATTCTGTCCTGGAACTGAAAAAAACACAGAGTGGGATGTTCATCTACTGTTATGACTAAGATTCTTCTGATGGCTAAGGCCTCATTGCCCTGCAGCATGACCTCTGAAACGTTGGTAAACCTCCACAAGACCACACGGTGCTACAACCCAGAAGACAGCCATCTTTGTACTCACTGCGCTAAAAACCTGAAATCCTACTAATGTTGAGACTGTACATAAACATCTCACTAACAGCAGAACTCAAATGTTCAACACAAATATTATCTCGACATAAACAATTGCTGCTATCATCCATAGTTCATAATCCACTTTCATTATAAAATTTTCATATATATAAATAAATGATGCAAATTAAAAATATTATTAAATAAGCCAAGAATAAGAGAAACCAAAACTAAGCAAAAACTACATGAACCTCAATTCTGTATAACTCAATTCAATTAATTTGTTAATAATAATAATAATAATAATCCGTGGCATAACAGCCCTCTGAGAGCCAAAGCTGACTAGCTTGTTTGTTGGCCTCACGTTCACATGCCTAAGCAGAGGTGAACAATCATCCAACCAGATATAGGGTGACGTGTGGTCAGCACAACGAACCCCCAGCCATTGCCAGTTTTCAATTCTGTATGCAAATTTTAAAAACTCTCCCCTCATTATTAATTACAACTGTTGCATGGCTGTAGTTAATTTTGTCCTGTAATATTTGTCAATAATTTTATCTTCACTTACTCCTAAACCAATTTTTTTGCTGTAAATTCCAAATTCAATTAAAATGCCAAACATTACTTCCCATTTAAGAATCAGAGTTTTTTTATTTTCATGATAGGTACAAAAATAAACAGTATTCCCATTTTTAATTAATACTTATCAAATGCAGAAGACCTGACCTAAAACTGCATGTTATAACAGAATCCACATTTAAGATCACCAGAATTTAATTCAAAAATTATAATATATGTAGGTTTCAATTTTTACGTCAGTTAGGCCTACTACTACCGCCCAGAAGACCAACATCAACATAGGCCCTACATGATTTAAAGTCTTTCCAAAATCCGGAAAACATTTCTTACCAAAGTGTTTCCGTTCGAGAGCCAGCACTGTAAAGAGTAGCCATGTAGAAGCAGGCACTGAACAGGCATTTAATTTTATGGTCTCCAGTAGCTCTCTGAAGGGGAAGTACGCAAGGTCAGCCAGTGCTGGAATAATAAAGAGTTTGACTGGTTCTGTAAGCGATGGAGCCAGGATATGCTGACACAAACCACGAAGAATTAGTCCACTGCAACAGAGAATAATATGCAAGAATACCCATGGTATGACTACCAAGACGCAAAAAAGAGAAAACTGGTGTTTAAAAAGACGGTACTTGTGGGTTACCAGGACACATCGCTTTAAAAACAGGTTAGGTTAGGTTAGGTTAATGCGTGTGGATAAATAACATATACTTGAAAGTTATTATATTTTATTTCAATAAATGACAAATTATTATATTTTATTTGGATATGCATGAGATGTTAATTGTTGTTACAACCTGTCTCCGGAGGCCAAAATTCGCTTAGAGATTTTAGAATCGTTTTAAAAATATCACCGTTATCATTTGTACAACCCCACATGAACTCAGCTAAATATGAATCCAGATGATGTCGGGCCGTGCCTCTCTGTTAAATCCCAAATTTTTAACATGGTACTGAACAACAACTGAATGAACTAGGAGATAACAACAACCGAGTATACCGGTATACTGATAAGCATGCACAGTTTTCCGTCCAATCCAAGTCCAGATATTTGACTCTCCCGTTTTGTGTCCCAATAACCAACAAGTACCAAAAAGACTAATGAATGCTTCCTTATATATCACCTGATACTGACCTAAACTCTGAGCTGTTGGTTGGCGAAGTGATAATCAGCTGTAGTGGCCGTGTTATCATATCAAAGAGACAGGCAGCCAGTGGTGTCGGTGGGTGAGATGAAGGCTCCAAAAGTGGTGGAACCTTGTTATCAATGAGGCAGCGAACTTGATCGAAGTACCCCTTTTTCACCAAATATGTAAATAGACGTATGAGGTGCATACTTGCCTGTACAAAAATAACCTCCTGTTATCTGACATTCTAAAAATCATTTAATCAGAAAAATTTAAGTTACTAGTACTTCTAAAAATGGCAGAGATAAAGTATACAGTTTTTATTTTATTATTAGTGTTCTGTCTGATGACAGGTCCATATGAACAGGATCCTTCCATCCTTTTCTCGGACTGTGACCTGTTCATATACGTTCTTAGCAGATGATCCACAAGTGGTTTGCCATTGCCTTCTTCTGTGTGTGAATGGAGTAATTGTTAGGATGCCAAGGAGAAACCGGGGAAGCCCCCGGAGGAAAACTCCATGGAGCCTAGACCACCGTGGCCATTTAAAGTATACAGTACAGTCTTTAAAGTTATATCAACCACACTGGATATACCCACAGTCAGAATTGCTTAATTGTATAATTATTAAAATACAGTCCTTTCTAGACTCACCATTTGGAATGACATACATGAAGGATACTTGATATCTTAGTTCTTCTCAAAACTTCTTGTTCTTAATAACCAATACGTTTCTAACTCGGATTGAGGGAGTAAATTTTTTCATGTACTGTTCTGCATAAACTTTACAGTAATTATTTGACTGGATGGCAACATCTAAATAATTTCAATACGATATGAATTCACTTACCTTTGCTTCCCCCAAAATGCGCTGGCATGTTTCCCACGATGTGAAAACTTCAACAGTTCGAAGAGAAACGGCCAATGACTCTCTGCTGTTCGGCTGTTGTGTAGCAGCTGCCATGTGAGCAACATTCATATGTAACAGGTGGCATAAACGCCATGCCCACACGTCGCCTGGACGTTCTGCTGCTACCATGATTTGCTCATGTTGTTTAAGTAAGAGCTGAGATACCCAGACCTCAAAATAAGGTGAACACCACAAAATGTTAAGCTACTAGCATTATAAGCTTGCTTATGTTATTATTCTGGGTTGTAACACTGTGTGGACCTAAAGGTAGCAAACAATGATTCAGAGAAACGTTTTGCATCCATCTTCAGGGCCAACAGTAGGTTCCCCCAAAACACTGGTTTCTGCATACAAGTCCTAACAACAACCCAGAAGAATAGCAATGAAATCTACACCACCAAGAGAACCTCAAACCTCATGTAGAATTATAAACTGTAGATGACAAATGTTAACTAACAGGCCATTTAAGCTAACATCAGAATAATGTAATAATGACACAGCTATGTACCATAAACATTAACAGCACCAAACTATAAACAAATTGAAAACAGTAACTTTCATAAACATACAAGCCTGCTGGAATCTTCCTCTTCAGAATAAAAGAACAACAGCCTTTGAATAAGCAAGGACAAGGTTCGTTCATCAGGTGCATGGCCAACATAACTGTTCTGTTGCACAGTCTCATCAAATGCTGCTCGTTGTATCTTCTTGTACTGCAGCCTAGTTAAACAGCCTCTCACAAATGCTTGGATAAGGATTGTGCTATTGTACCTTCTACGCAATTCCTGAAATCTCAGAAGAAAGTGTCTCAATATGCAACTGCATCCTGAATAAATATCAAGCTCGTGAGGCAAGACTTACCTCTCCTTTACCTACATTTAGAAAGTACATCAGTGACTCCAAAATTGGGTTCTGTAGAAACCCAGAAGTTAATAATCTTCCAAGTCATCACATCAAAGTTTGATATGATATAAACTCTAAAAGAATCAAAATTTAAAATGTTTCATCCAAATCTTGGATGCACAGATAATTAAAACCAATGATCTGATACACAGTTAACTTTTCTTCAAAACAAAAGTTGTACAAATTATTTTATTACTGTTTAATGCTGATTAAAACTGATATGAAGCTCATGTATTAAAGTGTTAGTGTTACCGGGAAAGAATACGAAACTCAGTCACACTATTCTGTTAAAATGGTGCATTACTTTCATTGTGGTAGTTAAAAGTTTTTACACGAAAGATTTTGAAGATAAGAGTGCTATCAGTTTATATGGATGGGAGGGGTCACATTCCACAGTAAGAAATACAAGGAAGTGTAAATAAATTTCATGCAATATTTACCAAAAGAGAGTTGCTAAAAGCTACTAGTAAGGGTTGGTAGCATAAATATGGTTGAGACACCTAAGAGAACTGTCTGTAATAACTCACATTTAATAGAAACCTACCTCCTCGACAAAATACAAAAACAGCAACTAACCTCTCTTTTATTCCGTTCATTTTGAGCTCTTTGTAATAGTTCATTTCGTTCATGTTTCCTGCTTGCACCCGATAAATTTTGCTGTGGTCTTCGCCGAAACTCACCCTCGAAGCTATACATTTTTAAATATTCTGCAGTAATTTCCGCCTTCAACTAAAAGTTTGGTACTGCGAAAATGAAAATAGCCATAACCACAAAATCGTTTGAAGGGTGAATCACACTTATCACGATTCACCTAAACTACAATCTACTAAATATTCAATTCTACTAATATAATCACACATAATACGATCAGTAAGATAATGAGGTAATCACGGAGATACAAGAATAAGTGCACAGTACTAAATTAGCAGCTGACATACTAAGTAAAATGACAAGTAAGACTGCACACATGCATGTGTTACACAGATGATACCAACGCTTATGAGGATATCTTCACAAAACAAAGTTATGGTAACGGAACAAAACAGAACGTGCTCTAAGCAGTGTTACAAGATGTACCAAAAGTATCTACTTTTTGACGTAAATATGTCTATAGTGTCTTTCGGCAAAAAAGTGAAAGGAAAACACATAAGATCCATATCAAAAATGTGTAAATATGGACTGACAATGGTTTACTCGGCATTGTTGTGTTACATTACTGCCGTCAATCGGCTTTCGTTATTGTGGAAAGAGCTGAGCTGAATTACTTTTAATTTCTCAAACGTAAGCACAATAAATCTGCTCAATAATGTCCTCAGGCTCCTCATGAATTCTGATTTTGATCCCGATTACTGCCACTTGTATTTAAAATAAAAATAATATAGCACCACTCTCTCTTGAAGAGAACTATTTATGAAATTTAATATACAACCCCTTGTAAATGAATCTTTTTCTCATGACTGTTATTCATTGTGAAAAACATGGAGAAGTTTCAAGCAGTCTTAACATACACAAGGTATAGACATAACCTTCAAATGACAAATGTTAACCTCCCTAAATACCAGAATGATGCTTACTAAGCATGGATAAAATTATTCAATAATCTTCCACCTATCATCAAAAATTTATATCAAGATATAAAAGCATTTAAACCAGCGCTGAAAAATTATCTTTTATCACAGTTCTATTATGCAGATTTTTTTTGTCCCACTACATGCCATACAGGCGCTTGGGAATAATTTTCTTAAAAAATGATAAAGTATGAAATGAGCTGGTCTTAGACAGGATAGGCGAAGGAAGAAGTCTATGGAAAAATCTTACCAGAAGAAGAGATGGGATGGCGAGACACATTCTGAGGCACCCAGGATGGGTTAATTTGGTGATAAAAGGAACAGATGAACATAAAAATTGTAGGGGGAGACAAAGATTAGAATATGTGACACAGATTTTTGAGGATGTGGGCTGTAAAGAATATGTGGAAATGAAGAGATTGGCGCAAGATGGGTGAAAATGGAGGACTGAATCAAAGCAGTCAGAAGACTGATGACAAACAATACAAATAGATGACTTTGGTTGAAGTGAACTGTATTGCATTGGATCAGGTTATTTTGTAATGATGGGGTTCAACTTTAATGAGGGAATTTTCAACCTACAGGATAAGGTAATCAGTTACAACAATTTAGGGATCTATTACAGTGTACATCAATTTACTTGGCAGTTGCATTGCACAGAGTAATTTTGGCATGGCTCATTATAGCTTGGTACATGCAATGAGTGGCAAAAGATATTCACGGATAAATAATATTCTGCACTGTAGTGTTCGCTCCACTATTACAACAGCACACTGCTCACACTGCATACAACAGAGAAATGTTATATTGGACGGTAGTGCAAAGTGTTATAATAATGATCATCCTTCTTGGCTCACCTTCTGTATGATTCCATGACAAATAACACAGAAAATACCCAAAGTAAAAAGGTATTTGTCATGACACTTTCTGCCAGTAAGTAATTGAGTGATATGGAATGTTATTTTTGTTGAGCCTATTTCATATTTAAAAGAAATTGTCATACACTGTTACATACATATAATAATTAAAATAAAATGCCACTTTCTGTACAATACACAATATTACTGTAACAGTATAATTATCCAACTGTCTCTGTGGCAAATCTTGATGTACTGGACTTGACTTTCAGCCCTGTTTTGCTCTCCTTTCCTATACTTCCAATTCAACTTGTGATTATATTTGGTACTCCAAATTGGGCTAATTCATTCCTAAGATTCTACAAACCAGTACTAACATCTCACATTAATATATTCTTTCTCATATGCATGGGTATTCTATTAATGAACATATAATACTCTACGTTACATTCAATTTACACTTTTTACATCAGTTTGACAAAAATAAAATTACACAAATATTTTCATGTTACAAGTGTTCCTCTAAAACAAACTTCAATCTTACATCTTACAAAAGCATTAAAAATTAGAAATGGCACAAACTTTGTACTGATAGTGCACCACAAGAAGTATACTGGAAAATGGGTAGGCATAAACAACTATGCTATATATACTCTTTCTCAAAACATGTGGCCACCACTGCATGCAATATTCATATACACAATGAATTGCACTACAGGAGTACAATGTGTTTGGAACACTAAAAACTTTTCAGCAGACTTCTAGTGGCACATATACAGTACATTGTCCTCTTTAATTTGCTGAATTCTTGGGCAACAGGATCCAGTCTTTCACAATCATCACTGTTAGCACATTATTCTCGGGTATCTTTTGCAGAAATTCAGTTGTTTCTAATCACTGTGTAAAAGTGCACCAAGTGAACTTTGTATTCCATCCATAATCACTAATAACCTAACATGGAGGATATACACAAACAAAACAATTGCAATTGTACATACACTGGGGATACTGGGAATGACCCGTTTTTCAAGTGCCTGAGCACCGCGGGTGCCAACTTTTCATTGGCTTGATCTGTAGATATTCGGTAGGACTCCTTGGACGAGGGATCGGCCCATCACAAGGCCTCTACCTGTACACAAGACAGCACAATACAGAAAAACGCGGACAAACATTCATGGCTTGAGTGGGATTCGAACCCACGGTCTCAGAGACCAAGCGGCACAAGGCCCACACCTCAGACCGCGCGGCAGTCAGAACTTCAAATGTTAACTTCTCTTTCATTAAATGCCCAGGTTCAGAAATTCCTGATGTCATTCAGCATAAAGATGTATACTTACCATTGCATGAATAACACTGCAAAAAAAACAGCTTATTTAATTTAAATCAGCTGAACCACCTTATGATAATTTAAAGGCTAGAAAGGTTCATTCTTAAATCAACACTGAAATGACACACTTCTACACATATGAACATTTGCTTGTATCAATGTTTACCGCTGGACCACTTATTATTCACCAACAGCACCATGAATTACTGGTATATATATAAAAAAGTTATTCCAGACTACATGGCACTACAATTCACAAGACAACCATCTTCGTACTAAACGCTGTGAGAACTTCAAATCCTACTTATAGCAGTTCTTAGTTATGACTCCCGTGTCTGCATATGGATTGAAACACTGTATGGCAACAGAATGAAGATTACTATGACTGTACAAATGAGTCTAATTCATACATTCCTAAGACAATGGATACAAAGTATCAGACAGGCTTATGAATTATGAAGAAATGTGTTAGGAAAAGGAGAAATACATACATATAAAATAACGCAGATCCAAAGTACCCCACTTAATGGTACCTGCACCTTGTCATGGTGGTGGGGCTTGAGTACTTCAGTGACCCCAAGAGCTATGCTGGTGGTAGCATAGCTACTGGTAGGCCTCCCTAGCCAGATTGGTCGAGGGGGAGAGATCAGACTAAGACAGGTACCCTGATCCTCCAGGTTGGGGGTTGGTCGCAAGGCTAACAACCTTGCACCGTAAAAAGGAAGATGTTTCGAAATCTCGATCAAAGCCTCGGACAGACGGACCTAACAGAGGACCGAATGGAAGAGGAGAATTGAGGAGGCTATGGACCGAATACGGACCGGAGAGCCATAGAAGAAGAAGATCCAAAGTATACTGTCTTACAAACTCACACCTTCACATGCAAAAGACTTTATATTTATTTGCTTGTGTATGAGATACATCATAATTTGAGAAGTAAATATTCAAAAAAAGCTTTTACTTATACCATTTATTCATATTACAATGGAAAAAACTAGTAGGTATCCCAATGAAATATAAAATAAAAAATTTGAGAAGACCAGTAATAATTATTATAAATTATTTAAGACTTTTATTATTTCCCCCATTTCAACTTTGCACCATCATTTCTCACAGCATACACACAACAAAAATCCAGTGTTTTCTGGCTCACAAAATTTTGAGAGTTCATGACATTTGACTCAAACACCTTTGATGTATATGATTCAGAATTATATCAGGAGATATTTCTGAAGCAGAAAAATGTATCCTATACACCAGCAAATATGGCAGGTTATTTATTACTCATACATATTTTCTCTTTTCATAGTTGTACTTAATATGCTAAACAGTAAGAGTTTCTTTTTGTACGGGCTTGTCTGAACGTTTGAACGTGACCCACGAATAAAGTAGACTTCCTGCAACACTAACATTAATACCAGTAAAGTTCACCCATGAGAACACATAATCACCACCAATGACCATACCCAAGTAGGTAATACAAACATTTTTCAAACACCCAATTACTGTTGTTGTAAGTGCAGAGTTGTGCATTGTGCAAAGTATAATTGTGTACGTGAGCAAACATCCCATTATACAAGATCCGGAAAACTGTGCCAAAAAGAAGACATTGTCCCAGCCAGTAAATGCGTATGCACGATCCAGATCTCCAGTGACCCACGCCAAACTGGCCGCAGGCACCAGCATAAACAGCGCGTTGTAGAACATGATCCCATGTTTACCCAGCTCCGCAGAGTCCAGTTTTGACTTCATGCACACACCATTGGCCGCCGTGAATGCGTCGTTCATTAGTACCAGCATATAGCCAAGAGGGCTGAAAGCCAGGTCATTACTAGCTGCAATCATTGCACCTAAAATACAAGCCCATTATTATTACATTACCAATAAAATACTCTAACATCTTGAGCACAGCTTTTCCTTCTCGAAGGTATCACCACCTTGTCGAAGGCAATTTGCCGGGTGAGGGGGCTTGCATGCTCAAACGACCCTTAGGATTTTGTCACAAAAGCCATATCTCAGAATCAAATAATTGGAACAAAATAACAGACGAGCTGAGCCCAAGCCAAGGGACTGACAACCTAGTTTACACTTCTCATGAATTTACTCAGTATTTTGAAACAAATGCTAAGACTGTACATTGATTATGAATTTCTCAACTACTCCATTCATGCTACATGCCCTGCTAATCTCACCCAAATGGATTTCTATCAAACTAATATCAGTTTATCGTCTCTTGATATCGGACGTGCGATACATCACAATATAACTCGATAATGAACATCTAAATGCATACTCCAAATCAAGATGAAGACAGAAAATTAAAAATCAATAAATGCAATGCACAAAAATGTACAATAGTTTTTAAAATGTATGTATTGATAAGCCTGAAGATGATGTGGTAAACATCGAAACATGTCATCAAAAATCAAAAGCGCTGAAAAGATGTAATATTATACGACACAGAAAGCGCCATAAAATATAAAATAATGCAATTTATATTGTAAATGTTATAAATTTTAAACAACATTATTTTAAAACAAGTTTTGTGTATAGACTGAAAAATAAATATATGTATTAATAATATCAGATAAAAAGAAAAAATTATCAAGTTCATCACAAAATTTTCTCCAGCCTCTTGCTACATCCTGACTGACCTCGGATACACACTACAGTCAGTATAGCGACTAGGCTATGGGATGGACAACCAGGGTTCGATTACTGGCAGGGGCAAGAGATTTTTGTTTCTGCTACCACATTAAGACTGACTCTGGGTCCCACTCAGTATCCTAACCAGCAGGTACTGGGGGTTCTTTCCACAGAAGTAAAGCAGACAGGAAACATAACTGACACTTAACTCTATCTAATACTTAGGTCAAGAAAGAATTGGACTACACCACCAATCCCCCGTACGACATCATAGTACAGTTCTTAGTTAAACAGCAAGGACAATTTTTCCTTTATCTTACTACTGTACCTATCTCACAAGATTCCACTATACTGTACAAGATAAAACCCCACTTAATAGTACCTGCAACTTGTCGTGGTGGTGGGGCTTGAGTACCTCAGTGACCCCAAGAGCTGTGCTGGCGGTAGCATAGCTACTGGTAGGGCCTCCCTAGCCACATTGGTCGAGGAGGAGAGGTCAGACTAAGACAGGTACCCTGGTCCTTCTTGCACCGTAAAAGGAAGATGTTTTGAAACCTCGATCAAAGCCTCGGACAGACGGACCTAACAGAGGACCGAATGGAAGAGGAGAATTGAGGAGGCCATGGATCGAATACGGACCGGAAAGCCATAGAATAATAAGTACAAGATAAAATACAAAACAAACTCTACTCACCAGCAATCATCGTGTATACTGAAAATTGTACTGCAATTGTTGGCCGGATGCCAAGAAAGTACAGTTCTCCTATCATGGTCATTAATATGGAAAACCTCCTCAACACTGTCAACATAGGCAGACTCAGTTCCTGGAAACAATGTAATCTAAATTAAAGCACAAATTCTGCTTAGAAGTGACTGTTGCTTCAAGCCCTTAAACTTTATCATATACAAACAGAGAATTCAAATTCTCATATTAAAGGGCTGCTGGAGTTGCATTACATGGACAATAAAGGCTAATGTGCCTTTCATATTACAGTACTAGTCTTAAGCGTCCCATCCACGTACGAGTCTGGCTCGGCGAGCTTGACTTGTGAGCCGGGTTCAGATATATTTCACCACACATGCATAGCAGACTCGGCTCGTGACACCCTACTCACCCAGCCGGACTCATATATGGATGGGCCCCTTTAGACAATGCAACAAAAATTCCTAGAATTGTTATATTCAAATGCAGCATTCGGACAATTCTGTAACAGATACTCAGCCTCCTAACCGATTATCTTGTGGGGGAAGGGGCACTTTTCAAGGATAAAGCGGACAGAGCACAAAGTTAACCACATACTTCTAATTAGTGCTGATATTTGGAACACCTAGCTGGATATTTACCTTCATTCACTGATAAGGCATCAAGGTGAAATATATATATGTGCCAGAGATAAACACTGCAAATTAGTGCTGTTATGTTGTACCATTACTCATGTTTTACATCTCACCTTGGTTCCACCAAGACCAAACACCAGATTTCCCATATAGATGAATGGGAGTGGCCAGATTTTTCGGAAGACAGAAGAATCAAGATGAGGGAAGCTCAGCAGCCCAAGTCGCTTGCAAACGTACAGTATCATAACTGTAGCTGCCATCTGTCCGATCCCCAAGACTTGGTAAGATGGAAAGTGATAAGTAGTGAGCACAGTCTTGTTGACCACTGTAATGAGGAAGCTAGCTGCCCCATAAAGAGCAGCCGACCCCACGCGCTGGAACATGGAGGAGCCTGCCTCCACTTCTGTGGTACCCATATTTGACTTTCCAACATAAGTGGTGTACGTTCTAACACTCCTGCTGACCCTGTACGTAAAACACGTCTATGTTATCAACTTTCTCACATTTCACCACAAATTTCCCACAATGGGATTTCTGATTGCTTCTGTACTGAGGACTATTTTTAGGTCTTCTGTACAGAATTTTTTAATTTTTAATTCTCTTAACGTTTACATGTTTGACTGTTATTTTCACCACAGTCTAGTTCCAGAAATGTAGTGGGAGAGGGAATTATGTGATCCTCAGACCACAATCCAAATTTTCACAGCCACAAAAACTCCAAATGTCATACAGAATTATGATTCCGAATGCAGGAGCAAAACTCAGTCATTGTTTCAGACCACAAACCCACTCCTAACTATTCTAAAAACTATTTTCATATCAGTATTACTGTATATAAAATAGTTTCATGTATGCTTGCACTCTTTTTAAACAGGCATGAACCTCACAGAAAAAATTCAAATAATGTAACATGTGACATCACATATTTTATATTTACATTCTTGTTCTTAAAGGTATGGCTGGAGGTGAAGAGATGTAAATACAAAAAGGGAAAATTGAAGTAAAGAAATTTGAAGAGGAGGGACAGAAATAAGGGTACAAAAGGAAATATAAGAGGAGAGGAATGACAATATGGACAAAAGAAAGGAATCAGGGATGAATATGTGACAAAAGATAGGAGATAAAGCTATGAAAAGTGGATATAAAAAACTGAGGATGAGATATAAAACCATTCTCCATTGCATTTCACACTAGTGCATGTGTGTGCATATAAATAATAATATATATAATGTCATGCAGGTTCTACTGAGCTCACACAACAAAACTGACCAACTTATTCAAAAGTGATCATGAACACACATGCATACAAAGCTCAAATTAGAGCAAGGAAGGAGAGAAAAAATTTACTATGCTTCTCCTATTTTTTTTTAAATTTTGAAATAAGTGCACTAATTTCAGCAACTTAAATGCAATTCTGTAGATTTAATTTGCACAATTCATTCTGGAAAGAGACATATTTCTGAACTCACACTCACTTTTCAAAATAATGTAATAAAACTATAAAATTATTATATAAGTTGTTGTTATTAAAATACTTTTTTATTTATTGTTCTTGTTCTTGTCTTGTGCTGTATCTGTAACTGGCCATTTGACTGTTGATGTAGCACACTCATATTAAAGAATTAAATTGAATTATACTAAAACTATTTTAAAGATTCTGGTCCAAAATTAGGAGAGGAAACTGTGTGTCAAAAATGTAGGTTACATTACAAAGAAAAACAGTCTAACACTTAGACAACAAAATATATTAGAAAACAATACACATAAATGAATGAAGAGGGAAAGAACTGCAAATTTTCTATGCTCATGCATATTACTACTTACCCCATAAAATCCAAAGATGTAAATAATTAATAACAAGAATCGTATCTATTATAAAATGTATTTTGGTCTTATAACTTATTTTCATCCTGTAAGTATGAAAGAATATATATAAAATTAACAAGATCTATCCATGTAATGGCATGCACATATGAGAAGCATGCAATAAATTTCACCCAAACTTTCTCATTACTGTACAAACTACAGCAATGAACTGGAATTCTATCACAGACGTACCCTAAATGTCACTCAAGGATTTCTGCCTTCATACTATGTGCAAGATAACTATATCAGCACACTTAAACCCTCTGAAGCTGAAGTTCATCTAAATAACATTTAAGAATTCAGTCTATACTGCAAAGCAAACAAAACACTTCACCATTATAAATAGGTTAATGCAGTTTAGAGGAAATATTAGCTGTTTATTCTGAGAATCACATAAATCAAGCAAATACAACTGTTAAACCAGGTGGGACATATAAGTCACTACTGGGATTTAATAGGTTAGAGATAAAATATACTTCCTTGTAAATTGAATTCCTTTAAGAATGTTAAGAAATTCAGCTGCAGCATGTAGTTTGTCATGCAAATACCATTCAAATTTAATCAGATTCAGTGCACAAGGAGTCTGTATTCTTCATGTACCACTTTTTGCAAGAAGGTTGTAAAGGTAACTAACCTTGCAATGGATCCAATTCAACCACATATTTTCTTGGGAGAATAACACCAACAAACTGATGGTCATCTAGAAATTGGAGAAAAAATACTGTACAGAACATGACAGAATTTAATAAACAGCACGATGCTACAATGCTGATGAATAAGTGAAATTCTGTATTTAATACCACCTTCTACAAGGATAGGGTAATTAGCAATTTTTAAACCAAACTAAGCAGTCCTGCATTCATTCAGATTGGCATACACCTTGTTAATACCGACCATAATGTTTAAATAAATTCTGACTGTTAAAAACAGGGATGTAATATTAAAATACAGTGTGTAGTTACCATGGATTCTGTAACAAGTTGGCATAGTTATGATCAGGTGAGTATGTAAATAATGCCTGAATTCAAAAACGATAATCAGTGGTCACAACATTGTACTTGAGAGTTAAAAATGTAACTAGAAGTAAGCACAATAATACGGTATTTTATTTTTATAATATTCTAAACCTGTACTAAAATAATAATATTTATTTTTAAAAATTCAGATAATACTTAATCCGCTCTGACAAAGAAGTCAATGTTTATTCGTACAACTATACCGGACCAAATATACGTACAATTATAATGCATTTTAGTATTTTGAGGTCTTCTTTTATATTTCATTCTATACTGCCAGATCGATATTTTAATCACACTAACCCAAAGACAATTTCTACAACAAGATATACTCCAGAGTCTTATCGTCACAGTACCACTTACGTGACCTACCATGCAAAATTACAAGCGCAGAAATAACGAAGTTAAATCAGGCATTCATTTCATATGTCACCGAATGTGTTGTAATATACACTACAAAGCCTTTATTTACAACTCTGCATCTACGACCACACGATCCACCATCACCCGCCAACCATGTTGGACTTACGTCAGAGATGATATCACTATTTCATTTCTTCAATCCCAGGCTGATTATTTTCTGTGACATAGACAATAAAGAATTCCAAGGAGGTTTTACAATTAAGGCGTTGGCACGTTTCTCGTTATGGTCGCTATGGAAACGTCCCTTCGTTTGCACAATGAAATGCAACATATTTCCACGCAACAAAACGTTTTATCTTAAAAATGCCACGCCAAGCAATATAATTATAAAAAATTCACACGTTATGAAGAAACACATCCTTATGGACCAAGTATGGACATTCATGTACATTTTACTTCACTATCTGTCAATAAGAATGGGCCTAAATGCATACTTTATTTTAATGGAGTGACATGGGAGATAACGAAAAATTGCATAGACACAGACGTGTATTAAAGAAACTCAGATTCTGACAAACATTTCATGCTCTATCTTACACAGGTCTACTACGCCACAAATTCTCTGATATGTTTGCGATCTGGAAATGGCCCCTGGTGAAGAGATCATGGTGATCAGACCACAGGGATGATTCTACCCCTACCCCGAAGTGTTCTTTCCTCATTACGTAACATATAAAAGGTATTGCATTCACAAAACTTGACACCAATCCACATATCCTTTGCCTCTTTTTTCGGAAACCAGAAAATAGAATTCTCACATCTGTTCATCAAGATTGCACAATACAGTAAATCTTCAGAAATACGAGTATTTCTTTTGCACATAACGTGCGAAAAAAATCACCGAACATTCAATTCTCCAAAGTTCAAATTAACATGCAAAACAGTTAAATTAAATATTTCCTAACATGCACAATACAATGGTAGCTGTTCTCCAAATTTAAAAACTATTCAATAAATTTCTTACAACAGACGTAAATCCTTTTTAAGTTCCTTTCAAAACTGAGATTGGTATTCAATTTTGGAATGTATGATGTAAATACGAATTCAAGTTTCGGGAAATTTAAGTTTCTGTTTGGGGTTTCACTAAAGTTTTATTTAGGCCAACAGGGTTTCGTTTGAAAAAAAAGAAGAAACATATATACAGATATGCACCTTCCGCTGCTGTGAAAGTTACGTAAATTAGTAACTGGATAGTCAATTTGACATTCAATCACAAGCAACGAGTTTTATTTTTCGTAAAATGAACAGCTGCATCGGTTAAAGCAATTGTATCTCACATTGTCTACGTTTTGAAAGACAGGTGATATATTCATGTTATGGCAAATATTGGTTCATGACCTTAAGAAATAACCCTGGCAGAAGTAAGAAGCTGTTTAAAGAAACTGGATATAATGCACGCAGCTCTTTGTAAATATAATTCACCTCAAAAATACCATCAATCATTTGTGTATGTCACAAAGTTATTGAGTTTATCGCATATTGAGATGGCAGATTTTTATGATCAGTACGACACACCATTAACAAATGCATATTCTGTTACATCACAAAGCAGGTTGGCATGGCGGTACAGTTCAGGACTTCGACTATGGACTCTCCCAGTAGGAATCATAGGCGGGTTAACCCCAAAGTCAACCAATCAATCATAAAACTGAGTCTTGTTGGAGTGCGAGAAGTCATCCCTTGCCAAATTAAACCATTCATGTATACGAAAAGCGTAGCTGGAATTGGTAAATAGTACCTTTAGGGATTTACGCTAATAGTCATATTTATAAACAGGTCATAAGCGCCATTGTTTTGTAGGATGCGAGAAACATAATATGTCTACGTCTGAATGGAAACTAGAAATATCGATAGTATTTTAAGAATTAAGTTCAGTGATAGCAATAAGCCACAGTAATATCCCACTGCTTCCTTCAAGAGAAGAAAAAAATGTCTTTGCAAGGGTCTAATTTTATTATGTGTCTAGTGTTAGTTCCATTTTAGTAGGTATACTTTGAATAGTTTTTAAAATACCTTAACCTTTTATACGAAACTTCATTGTTAAAAATACGTTCCAATATTATTAAATTATATTTACAATATCTTAAACAGTACATATTTTAAAATCGGCCTCATTTCCAATGGCGTAACTCCATTTTAAAATTATAACATGTACTAGCCCTAGATGTCGTAAGTGGTCTCTTCCCTTCAGGATTTCGTACCCAAAGTTCTAAGTTCTTACCTCCCTCATCTCAACCCGTTCCATTTCATCACACTATAATACAATTATCCCACACCCTATAACGTCTGCCCTATATACGAAACTTCTTCGGAGATATAAAACATTCATATATCTGCAGAAAGCAGTAACAGCCTTGTTTGTCACATAAACTCTAGGATGAGACTGCGCAGGTCTGTCACCACAGCAACAGGTGTTGAGCCATGACGTCACAATCCGATCCGCATGGCTCAGGAATTGCTTTGAGGGTTATTTTTGCAGGTTCAGAGGTCAGGCAGCCCAGAGGAGAGACAAACCACCATGCTGGTGTTTCGGCTTCTTTCATCCTTCTTCATGACGCAGGCAGTGCTCGGATGTCTTCCTTCTCGAGGCAGGTTTCTCTTTCTTGTGGCTTACAACACTTAATTAACAAATCTATTCTGAAGGGTTCTGACAATGGTATAATGCAATCTGGATTGTCGGATTTTTGGACTGTGATTGAGATTACCTCATTCTGACGGACCCCCACGGAGAAAATGCCCTCCCCCTCCACCACTCCTGAAAACGAGGTCAGATCCAGTCATCAAAACGTTATCTAATTTTGTAAAATCATACGACGGACGAAGTCCAAAAACCCCAAAATCCAGATTTAATTAAAATTTAAAGTCAAATTGTGACTATATGAATCACATACTTAAATAATCAACAACAAGTCTGCACATTTTATTCTCAGAATAAACAGCGATTATTTCATCAAACAGCATTAACTGATTAACAGTGAAGCGCCGTGCTTTCTTTGCGGTACGTACTGAATTCTTAAACATTGCATAGTTGAACTTCGGCACAAAAGTGTTAAATTAAATTCAGTCCATTAAAATTACTTAAATTAAGTTTATCGTGAAATGATTCTTAGATAATTGTAATGAGAATTTCGCAGTTTAAACAGAGAATACGGTCTATTTAAAATGTGGTTTGGACGTTAATGGAGCATGCATGTTGTATTATCGTTCATTTTCCCTTGCTTCTGAAGTGTGTATATTAGGTGAAAAGCATTTCTCCATAAATCTACATCGCATTCATCATATTCACGTGTTTGTTTTTCTCTACAGTTTCATTTTTTATTCTTGTTATTCTTCGTTTATTTAACAAACCTTTGAATAGATAAAGTCAAGCCTAATCTAACGCCAAATGTTAGGAACATCAGTGAATAGTGAATTAAAAACTATTTTAAAGGCTTATTCGTAGCCTAATTTAAGCTATTATCTCAGGATTTTCCTGGGGGTACAATTTTTAATAAATAAAGTATATTCTTATTTTTAATAAATTCAATAGGTATGAATTACAAGTTAAAAGTGCTCAAGAAAGTATCTTAATCGAGGACAAACGAAGAAAGTAAGGAATGGAGAACAGTACACAACGAGGAACTTCGTAACTTGTACAACTCACCTGAAAGTGCTTGATAGTGTAATCCAGGAGTCTTAGGTCTGATGGCAAGACAAGAAGTGCATACATAATTTTGGCAATAAAACCAAAGAAAGCGACTGACTCATTTGATGTACATGTAAAGAACCAAATTCACAGCACATACCTACTATTAGATTGATGATGTAATGCTGATAGTCGTACGTGACCGGCATATAATACGAAATGAAATACATGTGTGAGCAGTTTGTAATATCAAAATAAAATCATCTAGGACCCAGACATAGGAGAGGATATAAGATTGTTCCAGAGGTACGTAATCCCTCCATATAAACATTGTCGCTCTTCGATGGTCAATGCCATCACAATTTTTTTGTGGCATAATTTTCAACCACAATTTAGAAAAGAAAATTCACGTGAATTTCAGAACGCAAGGAGATTACACCAGCAGAACTGCTGCAGATATTCATAGACAACCAGAATCGACGACTGGAATTCGAGAAGAAACAATGCACTGGTGCACAAAGAAGCCGAAACTCGCCAGGTTAGTACCACACGCTTTCAACCTTTAAAATTAAATTTTTGTTCTCGGTAACAAGCCACGAAACCCATGTTCAATTTCTCAACAAATAAACTTCAATGAAATCAAAAAAAGTGACAGTGGAACCACGGTTCCGGAGAATTTGACGTAAATACGTCTATACGGAAAGGAAGTTTATATATTGGCTTTATTCTAAATATTTCCTTTATACCCGCTTTAAAAGTGAGTAAAGTTTGATTAAGACATTGCTTATTCAACTTGAATTAGTTACGCTTAAGATGGCTCTGTGGTAGCTGAATGTAATGCCGAATGACACTGACCCTAAAATATAGACGTATTTACGTCAAAAACACAAAACAATGATATTTTAAGTGTTGGAAGTATCCACACCGTCCAGCGATGCATATCGACACTCAGCTCCGAAGGTCAGCCGAAACAGTTTATGATCTGCAAGATTATTGTGTCACAGAAACGGATCATGTCGATTTGTTTTTCTTTTTGAACAGGGGACTCGGGAAATGTATCCCTAAACCCATTCTGGCAAGTTAAGTAGGAACTACTCGTATATGCCAGGTAGTGTACGACAATGAACGTTCGCTGGACTTGTAAAAAAAGACATCCTTGCACTACGACTGTTAGAAGACAAGTGACAAACTGGCACGAGCACGTTAAGACATGACGTGGCCTTCGTGGGCCCTTGTATAGCCACAGCGATATTAAGCTAATAAGATAAATTGTATTGAATTGCAACCATCAAAACACATTTTAATGAGTTACGTGACTTTTCAATCACACCGTATTTTTCTAGAGAATTCAACATACTGTGACGTCATGTGGGACGGCGTGATGTGCTGGAAGCCTGCAGCCCCTGGCACTATAGTGACACAATCATGTCCTGACTACGTCATACGGTTCGTCTCCGAGGTTTGTAGTACAGAGATCTCAAGTTAGAGGCGTCTTTACAATGGACCAAATGTATTAAACACGCAACTACAATTAATGACAGTGTAAACAAGGGGTTCTCAACGTGAGGTCCGCAAATGTATTTTGTGCGACTGAGTATTGTGCTTATAATACAGAGTCATTCTGAATGATGAAAAATAGTTACCCCACATCAACACTTTTTGTTAATATCGTCAGTATTTGGCAGAAGACCGCCTAATCCCGGGGGGGGGGGGGGAAGTAGGACGACATAATTTAGAAGAATTTTTAATAAATTGCCATGGCTATTGAATAAACTGTATTTAGTTATAATCTTGAGGCCACACCTGTATCTTTCGAAGGGCGCCGCTGTGAGACAGTGTTCAGACAACGGTTCCTGGTCCTTGGACAACGGGAATGGATGCACCCCACAACAAAATGCAACCCACGTTGTTCGTATCGGCCCCATCGAGGATTCCGTTTTGCTGAAGGTCAGTTTTTTCTGTGTTATCTTATCGTGTGTAGGCAGACCTTCCGAGGGGTTAGTCCCATCGAATGAATATTTTCCTGTTTAAATAACTGCTTAAAAACTGATCATTAGTCAAAGCCCTGAAGAATTCAGTCCGTACCGCAAAGAAAACAACACTTATAAAGATAACATAGTCAATAGTGTCACGGGAATAACAGCTGTATATTCTGAGACCATACGAAACACATACAAACAAAATACAAAAGTTATTGATTGTTAAAGCAGATGGCACATTGGACTTTGAAAGGTAGCAGAATTATAGGAAGGAATTGGGGGGGGGACACACGTTCAAAACAAATAACACGAAGCAGAGTCGTTCACAACAAGCTGATAGTAGCTCAGATAATCAAAAAATTCTCCGCTATTTAACGGAACCCGAAGGTTCATCGCCGTGCTCACAACAGCCCGCCACCGGTCCCTATCTTGTGCTACATGAATCCAGTCCACAATCCTGCTTGCATTTTAACATTATAATCCCATCTACGCCTAGGTCTTTCATTGACCTCTTCCCTTCACGTTTTACAGTCAAAATTGTGCAAGCATTTCTAATATCCCCCAAGCGTACTACATGCCCCACCCATCTCATGTTCCTTGATTTTATCATCCTATCAAAATCCGATAAAGATAATAAATTATGAAACCTCGCTGAAATGTCACTGAACGTCGTGGTTCGCGTTCGGGAGGTCCCGGATTCAAGTCTCAGCCGGGAGACGGGCTATCCTGACGGAGTTTTCGTGGTTTTCCTCAGTTATTCCAGACAAATGTCGGGATAGTACCTTAAATTACTGCTTCCTTCCATATCTATTCTAATTCATTATTCATTATCATCTTTTCATTCTACGCTAGCCTGAGCTTCTGAAAAGCGTCGTTAAATAAGCTGTAAATAAATAAATAATGTAATGCGTTAGTGGTTTCGTATGTCAGGATACTTAAAGATCCCTTATTATGTAAAAAAGTGCATGCAGTATTAAGCTACTGAGGACGAAATTATCTTGACGAATAGCATGCATGAGGAAACTAATTTTACGTAAAATCTGAAGGCAATATTGTCACTTCAGAGAAGAAGTCGTAAATGAAAGGATAATATTAAAATACGTACATTGGATAAACACTGTATAAAAGCGTAGATGATGCCTCTTAAAATGGGTCATAAGGCAGGTTTATGAGCATTTCGTGACAAGTTTTCGAGTTCCACTAAAGCAGAGAATTTCCTGACTAACGCGAATAATAAGTATCTTTTTTGAGAAAGACAGTGGGCCTTGGGGTGAGTAAAATTATATTTTGTGTTCACAGAGATGGATGCCAGTGCTTAAGATTGTGTCACAAGTGGGTTACAGTGTTTCCATGGTAACACTTGCCATCGCATTCTTCATACTCAGCACCGTGAAGTAAGTCCATCAACAGATGTGGAAGTGGCTTACGAAAAACTGGGACAAACACTTCTGAGATTTGAGGTTTCCACGGTGACAAGAATGATAATCTTCTTCTGGGTTTTGGCACCGTGCAGACTCGTACCTACGAGTCTGCACGGCGCAAACATCCGTAAGATCATCATCATCATTATCTTCATCCTCTACTTCGTATCTGAAGTACACGAATATCAAAACTAAAGAGGAAATGTAAATCGTAGGTATTTACATCCAAGGTAACAAAATCCAGAAATCATCATCATCAGAAAACGTCTTTAAGATTTGCAGTACCTCATCAGTTTTGTAGCTCATTTATTGCAGATATAACAGTAGAGATACTATTCTGTTATTACAATCAAAGCTCGGTGCAGATGTAACACAACTCAGAAGTACAGATGTACTTTTCTTACCAAGTGTTTCGTTAGATGTAAATAATATACAAATGGTCATACAAAAGCTATATAACTTGATGATTTGTGTAGGCCTACCGTAAGCAATCTTATATAATCAATATTTATTTGTTCCATACTCCTTTTATTTTCGAAATACGATTACATTTAATCGAAATAATCAAAAACGAAATTATTCACCCGATAACGTCTAGTGCAGACAATGCCAAATTTCGTCAAAATCCATTGAGTATACTTTAGCAGAAGAAGTTAAGGAAATAAAATGCAATATCATAAAGCAAAAGGTGATTCTGAGCTTCAGCAACATGCCATGAAGGTGTATGGGGACTTGGAGGTGATGCTCCACGCATCCTAAATATCGGCGGTGGATGTAGGTGATCTATCATTTTCATGCCCCATCAAATTTACGCCCGACACCCACGAATCGATAGCTGGGTGGGCACCATAGTCGATCTGAGAAAGATGACTCTTCCTGGGAACTGAACTCCGGTCTTCAGGCCAGCAGCCGTTCCGTTTAACGGCTCAAATCGCAGCGGCGTCTAAATCTTCCACCTGCTTTAACGATCTGTAACTCCACAATTTGCTCACAGAATCTATTTATGGGTCTGGCATGATTGTGAGAGTAAACAGTGAATTGCAAACAACATTAACAAGTAGATTTTGTGATGGTGAAGTACTGTGTTTTATTTCAGGCACGGCCTGAACCTTTAAATGCTATTTGGATAAAATTCAAAATAAATCAACAGCACTGTTAGAGGACTACCGTCAAGGTTGGCGTATTTCAATGCAGGACTGCTGGCTGGAAGACAGTACGCATCAGGAAGGTCCTGCGACCGGCGAACCCGATCAAAGGTTTTCCTCGGTCCTAGAGCAAATGTTCAGTTGGTTTCTAAATTACACGTTATACTTCATGCCTCTCATGCAGTCCTCCCAGCCCTAACACCAAAATTTCGCCCTAAATTAGATGCCTTCCCCATGCTAACATAATTTCACCAAATTCTACCCCCTCCCAAAGTTAATATAAAAATTCTTATAAAATTCAGTAAGACCCCTGTACCTTCTCCGCTTCAGAACGCTTTACAATCTCTTATTTTCCTCTCTTTACCAGGAGGACGAACGGGCACTGCTTGGGAACCTCCATAGCGCTTCTCACCAATCTCCGCCTTCTCTTCTCTGACATTAATTCATGCATTCATTTGCGTGTAACAGGGTTTATAATGAGAGTCTGTACCAAATTATCCTCTGGTTATGCCCGCTGTTTGTCGCTGCAAATTACTGTCGTGGTTTTCTTTTCCCCCAGAAAGTTGCGCTGCCCGCGAAACATGCTGCATCTTCATCTGTTTCTGTCCTTCATCATGAGAGCTTTCATCACGCTACTGATCGACATTCTCTTCGTGAAAGGTGTCGGACTTTCCAAGGACGTGGAAGTTGATGAAGGTGGTTTGGTGGACTTCAAGACGGACAGAAATGTGAGTTCGTAACAAAGGTAGTCTTGGCAACATATGGCGACAATCCACCATTTCAACCACTGGTTCTGGAACTAAGTTCTGCCGTGGCCACAGTGACTTTTAATAAAATGTTTGTGTGGATGTTCCAAAATATAGAGTTTCTTAAGATAGAAACAAAATTTTTCCACACGCCTCTCTCCGATACAGAGTAAAGTACATGAGAGTCTTCTGTTTAAACAGAACTGGGAGTGCAAGGCTTTGACATCAATCAGCAACTACTGCATAATGGCAAACTACTTCTGGATTCTGATGGAGGGGCTGTATCTACATAACCTCATTTTCCTCGCTCTGTCCTCTGACACAAGCGCCATCATTCTCTACGTCGTCCTTGGATGGGGTGCGTGCTATATTATGAAAGTGTTTCCCAAACTTTAATATTCGCCTTTTTTGGGGATCTCCGCATTATCCACGTATCAGAATCAGTTAACTCACAAACGGGCAAACCACATTACGATAAGTTCCTGGTACGAACTAAATAAAGGTTATGAGGCAACCTAAAAAATGCGAGTTTATCAGAATTAAATAATTTGTTTTATTTACTTTATATTAGAGCTATCTGACAGCAGACAAAAGAATCCTGAAACAGAGTCTTTTCAAAGTCCTTGTGTAACAACGACTACTTCCTTAAACAGGGTCAACCAGCTGATCTTTGTAATGGTAAAATGTTGTTTTCTTTGCGGTGCGGACTGAATTCTCAAATATTTATATACGATCTTTCGCTTTGAAGGCGCATATAAACACACAGCAACAGGACCCTATCTTATAAGTTTCAAAGGGGCCATGTTCATATGGAAACTGAACATAAACATGTTTGTAAAATTTCCTTAAAAACAAATAAGCATGATTTTTCAGTACTATAAAAAATGTTTTGTTTTTTCTGAACATTTAGGGCTCAATCCCCTATATGTTGTCAATCTTGGCACACGCCAGTTACTGAGTTACTTTTACCAAAACAGGGCTGCCAGTGCTGTTCGTGGTTCTGTGGGTCGTAGCGCGGCTGAAACTTGAAGATACCATGTGCTGGACCACACACGACAACCAACACGTGTTCCTGCTTATTAGGCTTCCCGTCATCACATCCGTTCTTGTAAGATATTAATACAGTGCTCAGCCGTCAACATTTGATTACATTGCATTTTACAAAAAAATCATAAATTAAATTAAATTAGATTTTATAATATTTCTTAAAGGTGATAAATCATATAAACATTTTGACGTAAAATACACAACTAATTTCAGCTAATTTTTATTGCAATAGTTACTGTCCTTTTTTTCAGAAACTACAAAGATTAATAATTTCTGGCTTGATGTAAAATACATATCTAATTTTGATTTACTATTTTATTTGAAATAATATTTGTGGGTATTCAAAAAATACAAAAATTAGTAATCTCTAACTTCAGGCTATGCAACACTGGGCAACAAATGAACACCACAGCCAATGAAAGTATCTTTCCTCAAGGAAATCAAGCAGGCTAAAAAATACACTAATAGAATTTAATGTTAAGTTATATTTATTTAACATTTATTTTCTCCATATATTAATACATTTCTGTCCTCTACAGCTTAGTTTCGCATTGTTTGTGAACATCGTTCGAGTTTTGCTGGTGAAAATGAAATCCAACGTCTGCCTACAGCGGAGAAAATGGCGTTACAGGTCTGTAACTTTGAATATTCCATTTATATTATTACCATTCCACCACCGAAGAAAGTCCTCTATTAGGGGGAACCAACCTGCTTTACAAGGGCCACATTCGACAAATATTTCAAAATGAGTAAACAGAACGTTATAAACAAGTAACTCTAATTTGAAAATTTGGGTATACAGACATCTAGAAAAATTAAAATTTTCTGAATTGCGATATTTGGTGGATGAAGCTGGTAATTTACGTCATTATATAATTAGAATCGTTACTATTTACACAGGGAACAGATTGTTGCTGCGATAGTTTTACGGATTTCACAACGAAATCTCCTTAAAATTAATTGTAAATTTTCAAAATTTTAAGATATCAAAAACCAATTTGTGAGCCAATCATTTCAAGAAATATGACACATTAAACGGAGGGAATTACTTTTCGACGACCGCTACGTTTATGGAAGAGTCCTGAGGACTTAAGTACATAAAAGTGACGCGGAAGTAACAGGCCGGAAAATATTACATAAAGGAGGGAGAGATGGACAGGGCATACAAATTCGTACATGTTACTCGGCAGACCTGCTCATGTAGAGAAGAGAAAATTTTGAAGTCCTACAAATGCACGGGGAGAATATTAAAAACTGATCTGAAATAATTAAAGTGTGACGACATGAACTAACTTCATCTACCCCAGGGCGAGGCCCAACATAAAGCTCTTGTAAACATAACAAAATAACATTCAGGTGTCATAATAGGTGAAACATTTCTTGGCCAGCTGAGCGACTATCAGCTTCTCACGAATGGCTCTGCTTTCATGGAGATAGTCACTATTTTACGTCGACATTCCGTTTCGCTTCAAAGGGGAGGAATATTAGCTGCTACAAATCTTCACTTTTCCTTTTAGGCGATGGGCCAAATCGACACTAGTTCTCGTGCCCCTGTTCGGCGTTCACTACGTTCTGTTCATCTGGATGTCTCCCAGTCAGCAGGTCAATGAGACCCTGGAGATTGTGTGCCTCTTCTGTGATCAGCTGTTCGCATCTCTACAGGTCAGCACAGGTGCAGAAGCGTATTTCTGAGTCTTTTATATTTTGGAACTTGGTGGCAATTATATAATAATACAGCTCACAACGAAGAACTGTATTCACGATGAAGTGTAGGATGATTTCCGCAACCTTTCTTCACTTAGTAATCAATGTTTAACCTCAAATTGTTTTAACATAATTATTAACTTATTTTACTGGTGTACATAAACCGACGACGTAAATATTATAACGTAAAGTAATAGACAGGACTATTTAAATCTGCGAGTCCGTAAGCATCCTTTCACATTCGAAATTACCAAAAAGATATCGATTGAATTTGGAATTGGTGTGCACTAAAATTTGTCTGGCTAATTTAATTTTAGTATCCATCCATTTAAATATCCACTTCATATGAAGATGAAATGTAATGTAAGTTTTAAAAAGGGAGCATGTAGAAACAATACATTTGTCACAAAGTAATCGAATAACCAACCAGAGATACTCTTATGTTTCAGGGCTTCTTTGTGTCGCTACTGTATTGTTTGCTGAACTCAGAAGTTCGGGCCGAAGTTGTTCGCAAGTGGAGGTCGTACAGACACAAGAACGAGCAACCTAAGAGGGGATCAGCGCAGAGTCTACCACTCGGTCTACACTCAACGTTCACTGTGTCCAGAATGTACAACGGCGGTAGGGGACGATTAGAATCCTTAAGCACTGCTTCCGGAGTCGTGGCCCCACAAACGTTTGGACAAGACATTATTTCGGCCGTGCCATAGCTCATGTGGTTAGTCGCCGGCTTCCACAGTTGCTCTGCAGTCACTCATACATCTGGGGGTGGACAAAGGGCCCGTTAAAGGCTCAGTTACACAGATAGTCTCACCCCATTGCAACAACAACACGATATTAATTCAGTTTCAAATTTCTTACAAGACCTCAAAGCCGATCTAAATTCATGCGATTAAACTCGGGCATTACCATGGCGACAGCATACTTGGGTACCAGCAGACAAAATGCATCTGCCCTGCAAGCTAAAGCCTCTAGGAAACAAAAACAAACATGGCGAACGCCTTCTCGAAATCCCGCATTGAAGATTCCGCAGGAAACTGAGTGACCAAATCGTAGCCTTCACAAAATGGACTTGCATTGCAGAAGGAGGTCTGAAGCAGATTTAATAAAACTGCACGCAGAACACATGCCCCTCCAGTTCTAAAACTGTCGACTGTCAGAAAAGAAAGTCTATTACAAGAACTGATTTAGGATGACAGAAGGATTTACCCAAAACTTATGAAGAGATGCCAGACATCCTCAGATGTTACGTGTAGGAAATGTTTACACATTTACAATGGAATGAACGAGATTCAAGCCACGGTCACGAAAGTGTTCATGAAAGACTTTTGTTGTTGTAATTTGTACTATATTCCGCGTAGTTGATGCACAAATAGTGTAAAAGAAGAGACTCATAAAATCTAAACACACCTATCACACTTCGGTGTTACTGGTATCATCACACTTTGATTTATTAAATGATTAACAATTTCGACGTACAATTCATCTCCTCTGTTATGTGACACAACATGTTCCTTTCAAGCGTAATAAATATCTGATACAGGATGTATTTTATTTTCATAGTCGGACTCGGCGTCGTAAGGCTGACGGCATTGTCGGCGGCAAATGCACGTGGCACTGACGCTGCTCCATCTTCGACACTCGGTCCCACGATAAAATAGAATGACCCTGTAAAGCTCGAGCTATATCGTACGGACACCAATTTTGATTTGAAGGGTGACTTGTGTATAAACTGATACGATATCGTAAATGTTATTCACTGTAGAGTTTATGTATGCAATAAATGTTTCATCACCTTGCTCATAAACTGTGGTAAAAGCGTGCTGTAATAAATGAAGTAATTATGAGCAAAGCAATTAAGTAATTAACTCCATGGAACAGAATTCTTTTTGAGAAGCTAATAGAACACTCTGCTAGCAAAAAAAAGTCTCGAATTTTATAGAACCCAAAGGTTCATTACTGTCCGTCACTGGTCCCTATTCTGAGCTAGATAAATCCAGTCCACATCTTCCATCCATATTATACTTACATCTACGCCTAGGACTTCCAAATGTTCTCTTCCCTTCAGACTTTTAAACTAAAAATTTGTAAGAATTTTTAATCTCCCCTATGCACGCCACATGAACCGTCCACACCCTCACTGATTTGATCATTGTAATAATAATTGATATTGAGTACAAATTATGAGGCTCCTCATTGCGCAGTTTTGTCCAGTCTCCTGTCACTTCATTCCTCCTAGTAAACTTTCCAACGGACTGCTATATAATAATACAGGAAATACGGCAATGTGCGACCTAAAGGCAAGACGAGGCAAGGTCCTTGAACCCAATCGGATTTAGAGGAGGAGTCAGTTCTGAAAGGCAACGATCAGCTTTAATGGCGACTGGTTTTCACTACAATGTTCATGAATTGTTTCTAGAATAATTGATGTCCTTGATAGAACAGAATAAATCTGTCAAGTTTACTAATGCTACTCTTCATAGTACGCATTACAGCTGTTATCCGAGAGTTAAGTACCGCATTTAACACATCCTGACAGCGCGGTAGAAGTGTTTTATTTTTGCAGAATACTGACAAAAAAAATAATTACAAAGTTTGGTCAGGAAATTAATTACGAAGATAACTGAGGTGAATTTATTACATATTATATGTAATTAAGGATAACAAATTGCCAAACGAGTCATGGTCTTATGTAATAATGTATTTTTATAACAAAAAACAAAAAATTAACACCAATATTCAGATACGCTGTTACACATGCCGATAATATTGCCAAGTTACGCACACTACGAACAGAAATTATTTTCTCTGCATTTCGCTAAACGTTCAACATATTGAAACATATTGCATATCTTACATTCTAGTGAAATACATATTCTATTTCCTGCACAAAGTCTGTTAAATTGAGCTGTTTCTGAGAAAACAAATAAAGCTAAATGAGTTTCCCATAATGTAGGCGTTACAAAATGATGATATGGGAGGGGCATGTGGGACTCATGGAAGAAATAAGAAATACATACAAAATTTTGGTCTGAAAATCTGAAGGGACGAGAACACGTTGAAGACCCAGGAGCAGGTGGGAAGATAATATTAAAATGGGCCGTGAATCACAACAGAAACCAGTGGCAGGACCATGTGAACATGTTAATGAACTTCCAGGTCACATAAAGGTGGGAATCCTTCATTACCTGAAAAGGCATAAATTTGCAAAGGAAGAAGTTAGTTTCATGCATCGTTTGGTGTAGTAGATGTTATATTTGACGGATACATATCAAAATTAAATTCCCTATAAAGCAAAAGAAAGTAACGCTATCCCGCTACGCGCCATGTAGGCGCTCAGGGGGAGAGGTGATACAGCCAATACTCGTTCTTAAACTCGACACTAGAATGGAGTAAGCATCACGCCCCGTCCGCGCTTTACCCACGGCGAATGGACCCCAGATAAATATCCTCTGCCGCAGTCGGGGATCGAACTCCGGTCGTCCAGCCCGCAGTCAGTCACTATACTGACTGAGCAACCCGGCGCATCATTAAAATCCGTTCTTCAAGGTTCAATGTAAGCTACATCTCCTAAACCAAATTTAGTTTACATCTGTCAAGTAGTTTTGCTAATAAAGCAAGTAAACTGACAGACAGACGAATATAGTCCCACTCAGACATGTCACCTCACTATACATTCGCTTGATATATTTTCATACACAATAACGTGACTTCGTTTTGTTATATAAACGTCAGCAGAATCAGAAATTACAGTATTCACATTCCTAGATTGCAGCATAGCGTTACAGGAGCGGAGATCAAAGGAGATCACGTGTAGCAATCGACAAGTACGCATGATGCGTACCGCTAAGCACGCCATTCACTGACAACGAACACCAGCCGTTACACAATCGGATAATAAGGAAGCATCCACTCTGAATATTGCAATTAAAAACTCAGCACGAAGATTACTGTTTTCTGGTATGTTGCGCTGTGTAGTCTGACAGAACTTTACTTACGTTTCGAAGCTGCTTGCTGCCTCCATCATCAGGTCGATCAGTGAGTCGCGCCCGAAGAATTGGTTTCAGATACGGGAACCAGTCCAACTGGTCTACTTAAGCCACACCGATATCCCGCAATTTTCCTGGAGAGACTGAGGAAAATTACGAAAAAAGCTGTTAGGATAGCCTGACTTTATCCGGAGCGAGACAAATCCGGTCCGCACCCTTTTACATTATTACATTAAATTCATCATAATATTTTCTTCTCATCTACGCCCAGGTTTAACAAGTGCCCTTATCTTTACACGATTCCCTATCAACACTTTGTAGGCATCTCCCATCTCTCCCATGCGTTCTAAGACGTACGCAACCCGACTCATCCTACTTGACAGTACTGTTGTGGGTTCAGACGTCGTGCAGACTCATAAGTAGGCACCGACGTTTCGGAGAAACATCGATACCTACTAGTCTACACGTCGTCAAAACCCAGAACAACATATTCATCCTCACCGCTGTGATAACCTCAAATCTCAACCTTTTCGCGAAGACTGCCGTGTAATATGGTACTTTGCCAATGTTTCGGAGGTCCTTACTGCTGCCATCATCAGGGCGATGACGGAGGCAGCAAGGACCTCTGAAACAACCCAGAAGACAGCATACATGCAAAGTTATGTCTTAAATAACAGAGTAACAATGCAATATAAAAATGTAACGTGTTATTTGTTGCATGAAACTCAGTGGATTCATGTGATTTGTGGAGCGACCACCTTTGGTTGTGTTGTAACTTCCGTGTAGGAATATTCCTCAAGGCTAGATAACGTGTATATAGGCAAGTATTGTGGCATGACCTACCCCAACAGCAGTCACAATGAAGACTCAATTCTTGACCACCGTCGCCATCCTGATCCTGGGATCGGTATGCATCTCAGCGGTAAGTGATCTATTAGTTATCGCCCTCAAATTAATGTCTATCCACATATTTCATGTGACTGTGACCAAGTATACAAAACAAATGCTGGGAGAAAGTAGTGCATATTTTTCGAACATCTTTCACCACGCCGAGTGCTGGTTGTGTGATTCTTGTACTGGCATTTTGTATGTAGACAGGAAGTTAAAATGGTAGGATCGTATCCAGCGGCAAGTTTACAAAAAAAATCCATCAATTAATTCAAGCGTTGTTTGGGAAGACAGACACAAAAATCTTAACCAAAATCAATGTCATATAGGTCGGTGATATACTAAAGCAATGCGGACCATATTTAAAACAGTGACTTTTCAATTACTGGTCCACATCACCCTACATTAGTCACGTTGCCATTTTTAAATTATGTGCTGTTTTATGCGACTTTTGATTATCAGGAGTTCTCGGGAAAGGCCATGCAGAAAGCCAAAGAGATTGATACGAAATGCAGGACCGAAGTTGGTGCTGATAAAGGTGAGAATGAATGGAAGTAGGTGTCGACAAAGGTCAGTTCGACTGTAAATAGGTGCCGACAAAGGTGAGTTTGAACAGAAGTGAAAATGAAGGCGGGCGAATGAAAGTTCTTTACTGCTGTATGAATTAGTGTTCATCTAGCACTAACCAGGAGCTGGATTCGAATGAAGAATGAAGGAAATGGCTTTAATCTACAGCCGATTACGTACAGACATTAACAGAGAACCAAAGCTCTTAATCGAATTGTCAAAATAATCTTAATATCTTGAGCCACAGCTCAATTAGTATTTGTTAGAATTATCATTTACGTTGTCGATTGTAATATTCTGCACTGATACCGTTAAGTCTTGCTGTCGGTTGCCAGCATTTTGGAAGAACACACGGCTTACCTCAAATTTGATGTTCTGTGAAACGCTGGCAACAAACTACAAGTCCACATGGCGAAACAATCCACGAGACCACAATCGACATAAATGATCGCCGCGAGGATCTAAAATTTCATAAGATATTCATGTCTTTTTTTCAGGATACATCACTGCGTTTCTCAGAGGCGACATTATCGCAGAAAACTTGCCAAAATATAAGGTAAAATGTTGTTTACAATTATAGCAAGATAACTGTGCACTGCATGTAGTCATGTCTGCACATAAATATCCCATTCATATTTGACGAAAAAACTAAGTCTACATTCCAATTAATATAAGCAATAATTCAATAATTTCAGTTCCTTTTCTTCATTTATATCTTTCTCCCATCTACTCCTTATTTAATCGTCTTTCTTTCACTTTATGGAATTTAAATATCTCGTACAAGAGACGTATAATGAAATGCGAGGAAAATGTAACTTAATAATATAATTGCTTAGAATCCCACTTGTGCCTAGTAACACTGTACGTAATACATTCATTCTTCAAGTATATATGTATAAAGATCTAACTGAACGCAGATGGGGAGGTGGAATATGTCTGTCCGAATGTTTCATCTCCGAAACTAGTCACAGATATAGATTAAATTTGAAAGTAGGATCTGCATTATAAGCTGTTGATGAATACCATTTTTATATAAATTATATATTACACAAATCTGAAACGTAACTTTTTGAGTTTTCCTAGAGAGATCTTAAGGTGCAAAAAACTGCACATAACGTGAAATATACATTAAATTAACATCCAGAGCATTCGGTTGAAACATGCTTCGATGAAATGTATATTTAACAATATAAAGAAAGCAATTTTCTTTTGGTGCAATGTTAAATGAATTGTTTGCAATTACAATAAAAAGATAATTTGTGCAATAAAGAAACATTCAAGGTCAATGCGGAACAACTCATCTTAAAGAACGCATTTGCAAAAATGTCGTGCCGTGTCTGCAATGGTAAAACGTACTCTACACGCATCGAATTCCTACAGGTTTGCTAAACTGGAATACACGCGGCGATCTGCCGGCCATAAGACAACGGCATTCTGAAAATTCTTCGGCGGTTGTCTCCAGACTAGAATTTCAAGCAAATAAACACATGAGCGCATCAAATCGTTCACATTCTACGCTGCTACAGGGTGTTTACAAATACTGCAACATATGTGTCACGTCAGTATTCTTTGCCGTGTTGATCTGCCAGTCTTACTGGAAATTCGTGACGATCAACACAAACAAACCTAATCTAACGTTAGCAAAAGTCAAAAGACTCCGATGTAGCATGTCCGCACGCACTTCTTAGAACACGCTCATCGAAATTTCGCATAAGATTTCGTCAAGAATTTGTTGTCCAAACGTGTACGTCCATAACATTTCATGTTTTCACAGCGGCGAGTCCGAAGATGGCTGTCTTCTGGGTTATTGCGCCGTGTAGTCTGGTAGAAGTTTACCGACGTTTCAGAGGTCCCTGCTACCAGGCTACAAGGCGCTACAACCCAGAGAACAGCCATCTTTATATGGCTATATTTCTTGTTTCGCAGATTTTCTCTGCAGTTTTCTTTATTGTAATATCTTACAGTGTTTATAAGGAAAGACTGAATTATTGTTAACTGCAGTGGTTCCTATGACTCAATAAAACTGCGCTTGTTACTATAGGAACGGTTATTATTTTAACACCCAGCGATCCCTGGCAGGACAAAATTGTGACATGCATACTAACATTAGGTATTAATAAATTATAGCCGTGTTTAGGACAAATAATATTATTATTAAATTTTGCGTGATCCTACGTACTTCAGTTCTGCGTCACACATTGACAGACTGCATTGTATTTCAATGGTTTCAGCGCTGCAATCTCATTTTAGGGGAAGGGGGTGGGGGTTCAGTTAAAAGTCGTGATTGCTGGGTCTCGGGTGGACATAAACACAGGACATAAAATGAATTGTGGGCGTAAAATTAACAGGACGTAAAACAGATCAGACGGGAATGTGAATGGACAGAACGAAAAGTGGACGAAACTGCCGTAAACATAATTGTCTGGGCACAGGCAGACGAAAAGTAAACTTTCTGACGCGCTCGGTGTTTTTTCCGATTTGCAGTTTTGCTCAAGAATTTCCTTGAATTCAAATCCCTGCCATATTTCC